GCAGAAGAAACAGAAATTGACGAAAGATTACAAAAGAGTAGCATAATAACAGAACAATGCAAGAAGTGATACCTCAGTGCCCAAACTGTGAATAGAAGAATTCAGACCCCCTTCAGCAAAGAGTTTTATTACATAGTCAGAAACAAGATAAACCTGCAAAAGCAGAATAATTTGTCCATGTAAACAAAGCAGATTACGCCTGGGATCATTCTAAATTAACAAGAGAAAAAGCAGATTCACATAATATCCCAAGCCTGAAACATTTACCAAATTTAAAAGGTTCAGGACCAAATCTAAATGTTCATAAACTAAAATTTCTAGAAGCAACAAAGAACTCAGTGAATCAATCTGATACCTATCTGATACTAATATATGTTGCAAAGTCTTGTCAGGAAAAGCAAACTACCATAAAGCTTGTTTATGCATGTTCCAAGAAAGATTATAAAGAAACTACTTACAGGATTGCTACCTGTGCCAACAGGAAACTTCTCATCATCCAAAGGTGGGGGCAGATTATGGCATGTACAAACTTCTATCAAGCGTGCATACCATTTGTCGATGTCTAAAGCTATTTGTGCTCCCTAGAAGCAACAGAACACACATTTCTAAAAATTGTGAGAGAGAACAAGTTGACAATTTAAATATCCACAAATTTAAAAATAAACCATAGAAGTTCCATTTTCTCCACCATATACTTTGTTCTGTCAATATCAAAAAAGATATCAATAAATAATACCTTCCATATTAATTCTCTTATTGCTGGTTTTGAAATCCAGAGCTTGTATAACCATTCTCGCATTTCTCTTTGCCCAATGGAGTTGCTAGGGCTCCAAACAGAATTATAGTGGTCTCTATTTTCCTCCAAAAATGTAGATAAAAAGCTTATGTCATAAGAGAAACTCTCATTCTGGATCTTACTATGGAGCGGGGACAGTGCATTTTCAGCACGCCAACTGTCATTGAATTGAAATGGTTTGCTCCCAAGACCTGAACCTTTGAGTCTTTTTTCTTTCCTAGGCATATCAGGGTCGTCCAATGAACTTGTTTTAGGAAACCCATCACTTTCTACACTTCTAAGAAAATTATTTTCGACAGCCAGAAATCCAGCACGACATACTCCTTTATGACGATGACCAGGAGCCATATCCAGACATACAAACTCGAAGTTTGTTTTATTCACAAAGTTTTGTGTGATAGCAACAGTTGTTTCTAAATTTAGCACGCAATGCCACCAACCACTGGGCAAGAATATAGTCTCACCAGGCAACTGAGTACATTCTAATGGCTTATCATGATCAGCAAGCTGAGGATAGACATCCAGCCACCACTGCAGAATGCAAACTTATTTTTACATGAGTGAAACATGGTTATAATATACTGGTTTCACAGACAATAATTCTAGTTACCTGCAAGGATGTTGGGGTTTCAATATTAATATCACCATCTTCTTCATTCACATGTACAGTAACACCTGCAGGCACTCTACCTGGCGGATAAAGTGCCCATCTGTAAAGAAATAATGTAGTATTAGTCATATATGAGTAGTTCATCAGAAGAGACGAAAGCATGCTGAAGCAAACAAGTACAAGTGCACAGCTATAATACTAAAATCACCTACCAAGAACTAAATCTGTGAGATCAGTCAACATCTCGAAGTATCATGTGGAGAAATTCATTAAAATCATGCAGCTGTGGAAGTCCATGACATTAGTAGCCATGACAAAATTTTCAAAAACTTTCTACACAGACATGATACTCTGTTAGCTGTGCAACTACATATAAATATATTTTTTTAGAAAATACTGACATATCCTGCAACCTAGCATGGAGTATTATGCAACCAAAGAAGGAACACTACCAGATGATTGATTCATTTTTCTTTCTTTTTGGTGAAGATATGATGATTTCTTTAGGGGTTGAAAGTTGATGATAAGATGGTTGACTAATCAGTGTAGCGAAGTATATGATTTACTAATTATAAACAACTCCTCAAAGTATATTCAAAGTAGGTAGCATTTAAGTACAGCAATAGATAAGCCAATAACCCAAATTATTCTAGAAGCAAACTGACCTTTTTCGTCCAACAAGAAGTGTGTTCCAGGCACTGGTCAATGCTGGATCAACATGCCAAGATGCTCCAGACCTTTCTGGCCCAATAATTAGCCATCTAAATGCAGGTCGTTTATCTGGATCTAAGACATCAAAGAAATCTTCTTGGAAGAGATAGGGAACGCTATAATCATCCAAGAGGGATGGTGCAACTTCCCCAAACTGGAAAAACAGTGCCATTTAAAAAATTTCAATCAGCACCACATAGCACTCTTTACAAGACTGAGAAATATGGAGCTACCTTCTCATCAAAAATGTATAGGGGATCTTCATCATGCTGAACTTCCATGTATGAGATATAATCTCTGAATTTCATGGTAATCTTCTTAGAACTCCTTTGAGATATCCTAAATGCAACATCCCCATAGTTCAATGATAGCTGGTCAACCATCCACTTAGTTCTTGCTGCCCAAGTATAGGCCAATTCAGTAAGCAAAACCTGAAAAGGAAGTATAATTAGAAGTCCCATATCAACTAAAATTACATAAAATTCAAAACTGTTAAAAGCTAGCATGGACAAAATATGAGAAAGGCGAAATACAGTCTTGAGAGAATACAGGAGGGTTAAAAAATACATATATAGTTACACAACGCAGAAATGATGATCAAATGGTGCATGCACATAATTTAGCCAACTATCATGACCAAAGAAACAAGCCTTGTCTATAAAGATTTTACTCTTAGAGACTCATCTTATGAGTTACTTTCTCAAGACATAAAATGAATCTACAAGATTTGCATATCAATCATGGAAATGACAATAATTTCTCTGCATTTTACACACATAATTTTTGCAAAACTGAAAAAGACCTTGTTCTGAAACTTACTGGCCTTTTGCCATCGTACTCAGACTGAAACTCCTCCAAGGTAAGACTCTTCTTTCTTTCGATATCTCCAACGTCGAATGAGTATGCAGTCAAAGTGGTAAAACATCTGTACCATCTTTTGTACAAAAACCAAGAGATGAATCCTGCAGAAGCAGAACAGTCACTTCATTTATGGATGACAATTATTTGTCTGATAAGATAGCTAGCTTAAAACAACAAGAGCTACGAATGAAAATGTTAGTACCATCAAATTGCCGAGGTTTTTCACAAATTTCAGATTTGGTATAGAGGTTTTGCCTGGAGCATATATAATGAAGAAAACTAAAGTTTGTCAGCAGCGTCTTTTGGCTGTTTCTGAGTTCTTCAAGAAAGGCAAAAAAAAAGTGGTGGGTTCGTACCATGGCTACAAAGCCAATCTACTTGCCTGTGCAGAGTTGTCTTCTTCCAATTGCTTCTGTACTCAACAAGACCTCCATCTCTAAGACACTGACTCATCCACAGTGGCTCCTCGTTGCAGAGTATATACATAACACTATAAGATTCAACAAGTCAAATTACCTAATACTCAAACTAAAAAAGGAGCATAAAAAACATGGAATGTCAATCGAGCATTTAAGCTTCATACTATCCCCCCCAACGCACAGGAATAACATGGACTCACACTTGTTAATTCTTAGAATCAAGATAACACTGACAATAGTACCAACCTATAATTCTTCTCATTCAATAAAAGAAGAGAGACCTAGGTCATCAAGAACCCCTATCCATGGAAGCCATATTCTCCCACAATCTTAAATCTCACCATATCACATGTCTATATCACGATCTTCAACAAATTAAGTTTGGAATTCAAGAAGAAAAAGTGAAGAGGAAGAGAAGGAATCGAGGGGAGGCGGAAGAAAACCTGCTGACGCAAGAGAGGCGGGCAAGATCGGTCGGGGAGAGGAGATCGAGGATGGTGCAAAGGGTCTCGTCGGGAAGGACACGGAGGGTGCCGAGGGCGTCGGGCCTCCGATCTCCGATCATCGGCTCCATTGAAAGATACACGTAGAGAATCAACGCTCGGGGGCTGAACGGGCAAGGATTTCTACCCTCCGCTTTCGCTGCGAAGCGGCTGTGACGGGATCGCGTTGGGGGAAGGGAGCAAGCATTTAAAAAGCTTGGTTTACTTATCCGCGTTACCCCGACGCGAAAGCCACGCGGCTGTCATCCCCACGTAGGAAGCCGAATCGCACACGGTCTTATTCCATGTCAACGTGGCCACTTGGCACAAACATGGGGGGTAACATTTCGCACGGGCAAAGCATTTCTGGGAGCTGCCGATAGAAAAATGTTTCTGTTTTGGACTTTTCGCGCAAAATACATTTCTATTTCAATCCCAAATATATAGCTAAATTAAGAATTCTGGTGAAGGGTAGTTCGGTAATTTTAGCATTTTTATCCCTATTTCCATTCCATCTGTGCAATTTTTTTTCTTTCCGTTCTTCTTACTCTTCTTTTCTTCTCCTAATTATCGGAATATCTTTCTTCATCACGATGGAATTAGGTATTAATCCGAAAGATATCATATTTTAGATTAATTAAAAAATATTAAAATATGACCGATAATTGAGTATTTATATTTAATAAAATTAAATTTTATTAAGAAAATATCTATTCGTAATCGAGGGATTATAATTAGGAATATTAAAAAAAATTAATATTTCTAAAAATGGACATGAATGCTCACTTCGTGTTCTTCCTCCTCTTCGATTCGGTCGATAGTGATCTGAGCATGCGTGGGCGACGACTACAGAGGGCGGACGACCCTTGCGAGGGTCATCGATGGAAACAACAATAGCTATTCGAGTGGTTGCTGGAGCCCAACCACCTTGACGGTCCTGACCTTGAAGGTTTCGTTGAAAGGGGCTGCGGAGGAGACAAAGGAGAAGAACGCGGTGGACGCGACGGAGGTTTGCGGCGTTCATGGATGAGAAGGCGAGGGAGCAGTAAACACAGTCAATGGAGGGGGTGTCGAGCAAGCGACGTTGCATCTGGCTACACCTACCAAGGGCGGCGAGAACAGGAGAGGCAAAGTTGATGTGCCATAAAGTAACATTCATAAGACATGTTGTCCACAGCAGGGATGAAACAGAGTAGATATCTGCTCTCATGTCTTAATGTAGGAGGAGCATTCATGGAGATCTGAGGTCGAGAGCAGAGATTCCGATTTCGTTCCGTCAGAATGGCTCGGGTGGCGAAGAGCTCGGGCCGGTCCGATGCAGCGACTGGATGCGCCGCTTCCTCAAGCGCTCGGCGATGATGAAGGCCAGCTCCAGGGACTGGGATGCGTTGAGCCTGGGGTCGCAGTGGGTGTGGTACCGCGAGCTGAGGTCGTCGAAGGTGACGGCGCGAGACCCGCCGATGCACTCCGTCACGTTCTGCCCCGTCATCTCCAGATGCACGCCGCCCGGGTGGCTCCCCTCCTGCTCGTGCACGTCGAAGAATGCTCGCAACTCCGCCTGGCCACACAGAAGGAAGGCAGTTAATGTTGAGGTTCCAAAGTTCGATGCGGTAGGAGACATGACCGGAGGACGGATTCACACCCGGATGGCGTCAAAAGGCCTAGTTTTGAGGCCACACGGGGCCTTGATGGTGTTGCCGTGCATGGGATCGCTCACCCAAGTCACAATCTGACCTGCAGAGCGAACAGCCCTGATGAGGTGAGGAAGCTTCACCCTCATGTTCTCTGCTCCCATCCGTGCGATTACGGTGATCCTTCCAGGTTTGTTGTGGGGATTCAGAATCTCTGTCAACTTCACCAGCTCCTTAGGATTCATCTTGTCGCTCACCTACATCCATCCAACTTAGCTTATGAATCATCACCTCGCCTCTTCGACGTAGTTTCCAATCTGATAAAGGCAGAGAGGAACTGCTAATTACCTTGATGCCCAACGGGTTGGCAACGCCACGAAGGAACTCGACGTGGGCACCGTCGAGCTGCCGGGTCCGCTCGCCGACCCAGAGGAAGTGGGCGGAGCAGTCGTAATAGAGGCCAGAGGTGGAGTCCTGTCGAGTGAGAGCCTGCTCATAGGGGAGGAGAAGGCACTCATGGGAGGTCCAGAACTCGGTCGTGGTCATTATGGGGTGGTCCATCGTCAACCCCGCCGCAGCCATGAACCCCAGTGCGTCGTCCACCCGGTGTGCCAGCTCCTGATATCTGCAACAATTCATCGAAGTTGATCGCTAGATGTCCATTATTAGGCAATGAATCAGGCAGAGAAACAGAGCAGTAGAATCTTTAGAAGATAGTGGAAGCTTTAGAATCCTAGCAAAGAGCAAAAGGGACTCGCCGGTCTCCCTGCTCGCTGTGTTCGGTGAAGTCCAAGTTCCACTGCGTGACCCTCTGCATCGCGGCGTAACCTCCGGTGGCAAACGCCCGCAGCAGGTTCAGCGTCGCCGCCGACTGGGTGTATGCCCTTATCATCCTCTGCGGATCCGGGACCCGGGATTTGGCGTCGAAGGCGTCGCCGTTCACGTTGTCTCCCCTGTAGCTCGGCAGCTTCACCCCGTCTCGCTCCTCCAAGGGCTCCGACCTCGGCTTCGCAAACTGCCCCGCCATCCGCCCCACCTGCACAACGAATCGCCACCGGCGATTCAACCATCAGATGCACCAGAACCCTCACCCAGCCCACGGCCCAGATCTCGTCGGATCTCGGTTGTCACCGCCTTACCCGGACGACCGGCATCTGGCCGCCGAACATGAGGACGGCGCCCATCTGGAGGAGGACGCGGAAGGTGTCGCGGATGTTGTTGGCGTTGAACTCCTTAAAGCTCTCGGCGCAGTCGCCGCCCTGGAGGAGGAAGGCCCGCCCAACGGCCGCGTCCGCCAGGCGCTCCTCTAGGTGGCGCGCCTCCCCGGCGAACACGATCGGCGGGAAGCTCTCGATAGTCCGTAGCACCTCCGACAGCTCCTTCTCAACCGGATATTCCGGCAGCTGCAGCGCCTTCTTAGCCTTCCAGCTGTCCACCGCCCACTTCGTCGACGGTGCCGGAGCCGTGTCCAGTTTCTTGGGCTTGTTGGTCACGACCGGCGTCTTGGCTGGCTCCGCGGCGTGCACGGAGGAGATGGACCGGCGAGGTCTGATCCGACACGTCTTCGGGAGGAAGGAAGCAAGGCCGGGTTGGCGGTTGCCTCGCTCGGTGGCGGAGAGGACAGAGGAGGAGGAAAGACGGTGGAGGAGGTTGGTGGCAGGGGAGAGGGTGGCCATATCCTCGAGAGAGTAGCTTGTCTTTACTGCCGGGGGATGAGTTAGATGGAGGGAGGAGAGCGGGTGGCAAAGGCACTTTATAGGGGGAACGAAGGTTGTGGGGGGTTGGTGAGGTGGTAGTTGGCGTAGGGGATCCTTCGTGACACATGTTAGCATTGCTGACAGAAGAAATCTCGTGTCATGTAAGCACCTGAGTAGAGCTCAAAACATAGCTCAACGATCCTCCTGTCTCACTAAAGCTAACACATGTTAACGATTCTATGTCAGGTGTTACGACAAAGCTCAAAACATAGCTCGACGATCGGAGGATCGCTGAGCTGTGTTTTGAGCTCTGTTGTGATTGTTGTTACTGTGAGGGCACAGATACAAATCAACGAAGACTATCATGGTGATAAAGATGAGGATTGATCACGGAACCTCTTAGAAATTTAGCTATAGTGACATTAGTCGTTGACCGAAGATAAGGGTGAAGGTTTACTTTTCTGACCGAAGGCAAGAGCGAATTGCCCGTCCCCAAAAAAAACAGGAATTGATTCGTAATGCTTACACATATGACTTATTTATATATACATAACATAGGTTCATGTATCATATTTTAAAAAATAAAAAAGTACTTTTGGAATGCAGTAGGAATAAATTCCTTCATTAATAATACTCTGTTTAAGTTTCCAAAGTGCATTAATCTCCAACAACCATCTTTGCCTCTGACGCGAATAAAGTGACGAGAATCCACTTGGGGCATGACCACAGACCACACCCGTTTCTTGTTCGAAGTCGTACCTCAAGTCGTTGATACGATGAGAAATGACGTCAGGCTGCATGTCGACCACCTAATTGTGATTGGACACAGCGAGGAGTCATCTCGGGGCCCACTTCTTGTACATCGCCGAGTCGAATCATCCGCCATGTCGGTGTGGCGCGTCACGGACCCAAACGCGCCAATCACTCGCCGAGTTGTGCGCGACCGGAGGGAGGGGGTCGCTCGAGCCGATGTGTTCGGTGGTGTGGCTCGGCGCCGTGCATGTATAAATCACGTGCGGAGGAGAGTGCGGGGGGTTTGGTGTGCATATATAAATCATATTCCTTAGTAATTGTTTTCTTCTATCAATAGTGAATACTCTAATAATTGAAACATATTCAATTAGAAATTTAGGATGACAGACGATACAAAATATGATTCTCCGTTTCTTTTTGTTGTAGGAAAAGGAAAAGTCAAATCATTCATTTTTAAGTTATATATTACCTATTACCTTCCTTATCAATTGGTTCCTCATATTAATAGTGTGTGATGATTCATTAAAACTTTCACTACAAGTTATCAACTTCGCTTGATCTATGAGTTGTACAAATGATGAATCTAATGCATAAGAAATCTAATCATTCTAGTCATAAAATTACAATCTTGCTTCATGATTTTTTTATTCTCATAGGACTCTTAACCATAAAAACCAACATAATGAGTCTAAATATGAAACCATTCAAACGCATGACGACAAATCCCATGCTTTGCACGAGGAATAATTGCAAGATTGAAGGTATTCTCGTGAAGAGATAATTCGTATGTGTAGATGTAGATTCCTATGTTTAGCCGTTATGTGTTCCATGTGGTGGTGGTCTCATTTTTGCCTCTGTACTTACTATTTTTTCACAGCAAAAGATTACTAGAAAGAAAAAAGATGATGATTATTTAGTGCATAAGCTTTGTCCATGTTAATTTAATCTTGAATAAACTCATACCCATATGAAATTTGGGATATAGAAAGAAAGATAATAAATGACATATGACAATCACAATTAGCTCTGCACCAACTCAAACGTTTTATTAGCTCAACATGTTGTTGGGCTAACAGCCCATAGGTTCAGGGTGGGCTTTAACATTCATCCTCTTTTTTTCTAAACCCTAGATCCAAATTAATTGGGAGGGGGGGTGTGATGGTTACGTTTTTTAGGAAAAAAAACTGTAGCAACGAGATAGATTTTTGCTGCAACTATGTGATTCTAAAAATTAGAAGAAAATGGAAGAAAACAAGGACAACATAGAGAGGCTGTTCTCAATCATCTAGGTAGTATTTTTATCTCAGGTTTGATCAGATCTACAGTAGATTCTTATTGTGATTACTCAGGAAGAATTTGAATATTATGCACAGTGACGTGATCCTTTTATCCTAATTATTCTTTTGTGATTATTGCTAAGATTTTGAGCAAGAGATTGATAATTATATATTCATTATTCTTATAATGAATTATTTATTGTTTGATTCGTGATTTTTATCCTTCACGGATTTTCGCTCATTAAATCAATGTAATTACGATAGACAAAGGTGTTGATCATAATGTCCGATAGTTCGATCGACTTCTCCATGTCCAATAATTTCACGCCCACAAATAGATATCAACTTACTTCAATCAATTATCGAAAACCACTATAAAAAATGGTAAAGTACCCGAACTTACTCTAATATTGTTTTCAATTATTTGAATCCTTCAAATTCACCTATTGACGTAAGCAATAAATTGGAGAGATAATCTGCATAGGAGGCATCCTACTAACCCAATTTACAAAGGAGCAATCTTTCATCAGAGCATATCAACTTATGACCAACGCCATCCTGCTACAGTTATAATACAATTAAAATATCCACGGATAAAGCTGTGTGTGTGTGTGAGAGAGAGAGAGAGAGAGAGAGAGAGATGAGTTGCCATCCTTCGTTGGATGCTTGCTTTTCCCATGTTCGTTCGATCACATGCACACGTGTCAAGAGATGGATTGGAAGATGCCGATCTTGTGATCCATGTACAACTCTTGCATGTGATCTAAAATACTAACATGGATTGATTTTATTTTTCTTTTATCACATGCAAAAGTTGGTAAACGAATCCAACAGAGATTCGTTTTCTCTTTTCGGACTGCTAGCAAATAAGTTAAGTTTAAACTTAATGGCTAACTAAAATAACTGATCGAGTTGGATGAGATGTACGTGCGGGTTATATCGCAGAAGATTATGGGAAAAGATCGACACATGAATGAGTGTGTTAGATATTGCGTACGAACGTCGCAGCTTGTTTAGTTTAGTTGGATCGAAGCTTCCATCAAAAGTTCTCTAAATTGAGAGGAAAATCAACTCATCTTAAAAATCTCATATAAATGAAGACAAAAAGTAAGGTTTGGACGATGCAGCCTCTTTCCCGTGCTTTATTTCTCATCTCAAATGTTGCTCAGCAAAATGCACTTTCAACTCTCGTGGATCCAACTTATTCTGTAGGGAAGTGGTGAGGGGAATGTATTGAGAAAAATCTTCGACTTTAATTTATATAAATAAATATTATATTCAATAAATTTAATTAGACTTTGTAATCATATTTTTCTAATTGGACGAGGAAATCTTGTTGATCCGTTGACGGAAATCCTCTCCTCTAACTTGTATAAATAGATATTGTATTTAATAAACTCAATCGGACTTTGTAATCACATTTCAATTTATCATAATATTAGAACACTTGCGTTGAGCAAGATTTCTCTTCCCTTCCTCGTTGTCTAGTGACAGCTAACTCACCTTCTATCAGCGTCGTTAACAGCAAGACAACATCACGCTTGCAAGGCCGACGAGGAGTGGATCAACGAGATCCTCTGCATCCACCTTGTCACTAGCGTGCCTACTGTCATATCTTCCTCTCCATCGATGAACCTTCGGTCTCGGTCATTTAAACGAGGCGACTTCGTCTCCACCTCTCTCTCTCTCTCTCTCTCGTTTGACTCTTGTTGTAGAAGTCAAGTTGGCAAAGCCCATCACTGAACTCTGGAGATCCATCGCCACTACTCCCTTAGATGAATCATCGGTCCCGATCGCTTAGACAACCAACTTCCACTGCAGGTCCTGGTCGCCTAGACGAGAGGTGACTTCTACTGTCGCCTCTTCCCTTATCCCTTGAGGCTCTTCCTCCAACAGAGGAGCTCTCCGTTGACACTCTCTTGCGGCTCCTCGTGCATTGGCTTTGCCCCTCCACCGTGCTCTTATTTTTTGTCTTCTCCTTCCATTTCAGGGAACTCTGACAAACTTCCTCTGCCTCCTCTTCTTTTTTTGTTCTTCATCACTAGCAGAGCTGCAACGGTTCCCTACCTATAGCGGAGATGCTCCTCCTCCATCGATCTCCTTGCTATGGCGCCTAGCACGAGCGAAGCGACTCGTCCCATCTTCGTCATCGTATCTACATAAGCGGCTGCCCCTCCTCTTCATTGATGAAGCGCTCTTCGCCAATAGATCCACACCTTCTCCACCAGCAGCTATGATCCATTGATCGTGGGCCACTCTCTTCTTCTTACTCATTGTCTTTGATTTTCGATCACTCCTACGTTGCCACGAGACAGCCATTCGTGCTAAGTGATCGCTAGCCTACCTCGTCGAGGATCACTAGCATAGAATCTCTTTTCCTTACCAAGGCGCTAATCTACATCTCTAACTCTGTATTGAATGCTCGTATACACCCACCTCTCCGTCAATAATGATCGCTGGACCCAATTTGCACCACACTCACTAGTGTGCACACAGTGACCACCCCCTTGTCCGCCAGCGATGACACCTGCTATAGTCACCTCGTCCTCTAACAGAGGGTCTGCCGTACCGAACCGTACCACCCGGTACGGGCGGTACGTACCGATCCGACAGGTTGTCGGTATGCGGACCGACTGTTACCGGTCCGAGTGCACAGTAGCACTGTAGCAGTGCTACAGTACTCGGCACACCTGGGTGTACCGCTCGGTATACCGTACCGTACCGGTACCGAGCCCAGGTCGAAATACCGGTACGATACGGTATTGCGAACCTTGCTCTAACATGCTATAGCCCACACCAAAGCACATTTAGGTGTCGCTGCTCTAGTAATTGATACTTCTGCTCGTGGTCTTTCGCTCCTTGTGCAGCACCTAGATTCAACGATTGCTACCTAGTGTCCAGAGAGAATTGCTTCAATCGATCCATCTACATCGTCATGGGCTTCCTCCTCTGTTTGACCTATCTCCGGTGACATTGATTTGTGTCAAT